TACAGCCGGATCGTTTAATTGAATCGATCTAATGGTACATAACCCAGGTGGGCACCGCTTTGTTTCGCTTTCGACGATCGACCGGCCACGCTCGGAATTCCGTGGAAACAGATATCGGCCGTGGTGAACGGTCGCTAACAGAAGAAACAGATATCGTGGCCCGCAAGAAGGAAAGGCTCGCGCGCGATTCCTGCCGATCGTTTGTTCCAGATCTAGGAAACCTACCGCGGCGCGATACAGTAGCGTAGCTATACGATTCTTTAACGAGAACCCGTGCTGTTACAGCCAGTTATTTATGCGCTGGATTGAACGTTCCCCGCTCGAACATTCATTTCGCCTGCCTTAATGTTCCGTTCGCGAGTGTACGCGTAACGCTGTTTCAACCGTTTGCCCGGCTACCGGCTATCTTTCATCGTGCGCTTTTGTATTCGACCGTTTCCGAGCTGACAATGCTTTCCCGGGAAAATATATGGTAAACGAGCTACCTCTGCTTTGAATCCAATAGATGGAACGCCGCGGCTGCTGCTTCGAGCACACACTTTTGCGCCCGTTCGCTATTTCCTTTTTTCAATGGTCCTTAGTCTCTGCTGGTATCCACTTGTCTTTACCAGTTCAACTTACTAGTTTCACGATCTATTTGATCTGGCAAGAATCGAGTAGATAGAAGGTAATTTTTCAAGCCAAAGCTGTAATACGCCATTGGTTTGGATGGCGAGGAGGAAAGGAAGGGAAGAAGACGAGCGGTCGAGCATGAAAGTCACGCGACCGCGATACACCGGGGCTTCTTTTTGCCGATTCCGTTCGTGCATCGGCACGAGCACCACGAGGAGGCTCGGCCGATCGAGGAACGATGGAAAGGGCAGAAAAGAGGCGGTGAAAGAAGGGCTAGCAGCGGCCGGAGGGCCGCGACGTCGGAGGGAACACGGTGGAGGCGGAATAAGAGCTGAAACACGGGATTTACACGTGTATTTGCTAGCGCAGCGCTAACGTGCATGCACGACCCAGTCGAGTGTTTATGGTAATCCTCGAGCAGGGTGGCCTCCCTTCCTTTCTCGCGATCTTCTACGCGTTCTCTCCTCTTATTCTATCATTTCTTCTACACATTACTTCTATCCTCCCTGATTTCACTCTCATCACGTCAGATTCGTCTTTCTATCCCCTCACGGGATAATCATCACCCTCGGACGGCGGACCATGGAGAGAGTCCCAATTTTAATTGAATAACTCTGCCATTTTGCAATACCTCTAGTTTAAAAAATTAGAGAGTAAAATCGAAAGTTATATATATTTTTTCCGAAAAGATGGAAGGTTCTTAATTTAGCTATTATTTAAAAAAAAAATTGTTAAAAGCCTTAACTTTCCGCTGGTGGACTATGGAGAGAGCCCCAATTTTAATGTAATCTCAGATTTCTTATTATTTTATTATTAACAGACTCCTGTTAACACGAGATTTCGTGTAAAGTATCTCGCGATCATTCGATACCTAGAGATTGCGATTTTAGATCAACATCATTGCAAAGTGACTAGCTCGAATTGTAAACGGTTTTATTGGCACGAGTCGAGTGTTAGAATAATTGCGAATCATGTCTGAAAGCATGTTGTACCCGATGAGATCGAGCAACCTTGAATGAAACGTTTATCGCGAACATAATCGGGCAATTAGCCTGAAATTGCTCGGATATTTGTACAAGCTGAGATTTCGACGTTATTTCGTTTAATATCGTGCTTTTCATCGGGATTGCTTTCTTCCTGTTGGCCGCAAAGATAGTCGGAAACGCGTGTGCGTGTCTTATTATCGTCGCATTCATGCCCTCGTCATTTTACTTGTCCAGGCCCACTGAACTCGTTTCCTGAAAATACTTCAGCTTGTAATGACTGTGATTTAACTCGCGGAAGGAAATATCGTTGATCGTCGATCCGGACCTTGACGATTCGAAAAAGAATCCTGTTCCACGATCCTGCGGGTACATATGCAGTAATTACGTTGATGAAGAATTAATAGCTGGACATGTTTGCTTGTAATCGAACGATGCGATCCGTTTTATTTTCCGATGATTGTCACTTGCCATAAAATTCTTCCTTTTTAAGATCATTCTGCGATCGAAGGACAAGAAGATCTATTTTTATCCTGAATTAAAAATAATAAATATTCAGTATGATATCGCGATATGCTGACCGAGGACAAACATACGGGCAGAAGGAATTAAGATTGCGGCATCATGAAGACGTTCCTTCGAATAATCGTTTATTACTTTCTGTAAACACAAGCACGCCGTTGCAGCTGTGACGCAGGATAATTCAGAGGCGAAGAATTCGGTCGGTGGACATCGCGAAACTCGAAGCACCTGCGGGATCGCTTGACGTTTATTGGCCGAGGCACAATATGTTCGTTTTGCTACGAAACCATGGCGCGTCCTTACCGTTCAAATCTCTCGAGACACGCGTGCTTTATAGGTGTAATTACGAGCCTTAAAACTTAAGCCGTTCGTATCGTGACAGCCAAATTGCACGAGACGACGATACGATAACGGTCTTCGAGTGCCATAAATCGGCACCAAGATAAGAGCCGATCCGTTCGATGATTTCTTCTCAGTCCTTCACCTGTCTCAGACGCATTCAGCCTACAGCTCCATCGAGATATTATGCTAACGTTTCGATGATTTACGCCGATTCACGAATTTTCTTCGTCCTAGCCGATTTTGCTCAGGGCCATACGATCCACGTTGATCCACGAATTCGAGCCGGTACGCTACAGGTGTTTACCCGAACGAGTTATACGGCGCAGGTGGAAAGCTATCCTTCCGATATAATGACTCTATCCTTGGTGGTGCCTTTCTCCGGGGGACTCGTGGCACGGAGAGCCAACGGTGTTACAGTAATAGTCCGTGACTATATGGCTTGACCGACGACTATCTTGCGCGCGAGCAAGGGATCGACGAGCCTCCAGCCACGAATACTTTCGATCGGCATTCGATCGTTCTTCTACCTGCAGACTTACTTTCTCGCCGAATGTACCTTTGGAAACTCGACCGCCTGTACCTACGTACGATTTCTTCAAATTACGGTTAATTTTCATATTTTCGAAAGAAGGTGAACAAACTGTTTGAAGGTTCAACGCGCGTGACTTTGGTCGTGAAGTGTCTCATATGTTTGCGGGCGACTCTTCTTTTTTTTTACGTTTTATTTGCGAGCTGTCCTCTCCGGAGGAATCTCTCCATCTCTAAGGCTCGTCACGCGACGAAAACGAGGACCGAGACCAATTAACTCATCACTGCCGCTAATTGCTCCAACACGTAAGCAAGTAGACGTTTCGTGTTGAATACCTCGAAGTATTAGTCTTTCTACTTCGTAATACGAATTACGAAAGACGATTAATTAGATATTACTTATTAACCTTTTAACAGCGGAGGTTGGGTTAAACTTAATGTCGGCTTAAAGTTAAACCTATAATTTTTAAAGGAACATTGTAAAATTTAGAAAATGAAAATAATATGAAATACAAAATTATATTAAAGTTGGGGCTTTCTCCATGGTCCGCCGTCTGAGGGTTACCCCTTAATTCAGCGAATAAAATATTCAAAATATAAGCTTTAAATACTTTTTTATAAAACCAGAGAAGCAAAGGTGACAGAGTTGAAAAATTTGCATTCGTACTGTTCGAGTTGAATGTAAGTTGCAGTAAACGTTCCTGGCTCGTTGTTTCTGTCCGACGTGGACGTCTCTTCGCTCCTTAACCGCTCTCACAAATACCGAGCAAAGTCGAGGCATGATTGGGCGTTCGAAAAAACACGAACGGAGGGTCTCGAGCCACGAAAACGCTTCTTCCAGGAAGGAGGAATGTTTCTGTCCCGGGCAAAAATGAATTCGTTCGGTTCGACGAAAGGAACCGGCGAGGCGCGGAGAATAAAGACACGTTGCTGGTCGCGCGTTTCCACTTCTCTCCTCGCCGAGCAGTTGCTCTCGCCCACGATCACCGATCTTATCTGCGACCGTATCTCGACCCATTCGCGCCTCCGCGAACCACTAGGCGCTTTTAATCGCGGCATCCTCCTGGACACCGTCTGCCCTGTGTTATTTGCACTCGCCAGCTCGTGTTTCGAAACCACCCCCTCGTGAAATCGACCATTTTTCGACCGTCGAACCTTTCGATTCAACAACACCTTCATTGGAACACTCGATTCCTCTCGAAGAAACGAAGGGGAAAATGTGTAAGATAGCAGTGGATAAATGTCTCTATTCTCAGCCTCGTTCAACCTGATAATTACACGCTACTGGCCACCCTTCAATTAACCCGAGAAATCACCTGCTTCCATGTTGAACGACGAAAAACTGTTCTGCACCTTTCAAGAATCCTCCTGATCGTTTAGAAGAAAAAGAATCTAAAACGGAAAATTGAAATTTCAAACACTTTGAAATTTCTTCTTTCGCGAGTCAGAGACTAATTACAACTTCGACACTTTCCCCCGGATAAATTGCTGAATTTTTCAACGACAGAAGAAACAGGTCTCGTTAATGTCTCTGTGTCGCAGGATTAATCGAGGGGTAAGAAAAAGCTTTCCATCCGACGTCTCGGACAAAATCCACGAAACGTAATTAGCCCGGCAGCAGTGGGCATATTCAAGGCGAGGCAATTTCCTCGGCTTAATGCCACTCGTTCGCAGAAGCCGGCATCGAGTGGCCACGACACTCTTAATTATCCTCTTTGCTAGCTCGTAATCGCGTCCTTTCCTCCGTCTGCCAGTAATAATATTTTTTCCCCTCGAAATTGTCGAAGAACGTTGCGTGCTACAATCGCGGTAACTACATCTCAATTATGATACTAATACACGAGCAATAAAATCGCGATGTATAGTTGAGTCGTTAATTATCTTGTCTTTCACTCGTGTTAAATAAACTTCTGTTAAGTAGGGTTAAAGATATAAAAAAAAAAAAAAAAAAAAAAAAAAATGATCGCACGGAATCGAGATGAAAATGGAACTGAAACGAGTCCACTCCCGCAGGTAGCCGGGAATCCTTAAAGGATGAACAGTCTCGCGGAGGGTGCCACCTTCGACAGTATCGTGAGATACGTGTTGAAGCACATGAAAATCACGCATGCACGAGCTGGTTACCTGGTGATGGAGGTTCTGAAGGCCGGGATCGCTGTGGGAAGAATCAAGAGAACTCCTCGCGGTACCTATATTCTGGCATCGGAGAAACCTGGCACCATCGCTCATCGAATAAGAGAGCCTCGATTTAGCGACGATAGTAACGACGATGTATCTTCCGACGAAAGCTCCTAACCCTTTATGTCCATTATTTATTCATATAAATTCTGTTCGTCGCTAGAAATATATCAATTTTTCTGTATATTCTGTAGATTCACAACCAGAGAAAAAAAGATTTCTTCTTTCATTCGTAAAATACAAACGGAAAGGGCAGAAGTTACGTAGGAATTTAATAATGCATGTACCCCCCACATCGTTCTTACTAATAAAATGCTAATGACCGTATGCAAATGAACCGAACACCAAAGACGATTGTTCTTCTTCCTAATTGAATAATTGCTCCGGTTGCTCGTCGCGATTTAACGTCCTGTCATTATAATACTAATTGCATCGGACACTGGCGGTGCTCCATCCCTTTCTCGTTCTTAATGATCGTCGCCGATCGGCTCCGTGTATATCTCTGCACAATTGAAATGGAAGGAACGGAGGCACGATCGTTTCCCATAGCGTCGAATATACGGTGTTCCATGGGGTCGTTCAGGTTCTTGCGGGTAATTTCGAGAGATATTTCGTGGCCAGGTACCTGGAGCACACATCGACCCCTACTCCACTAATTGGTTCGTTTTAACTGCAAGCTTAAAGGTTATGAATTTATGCCTGGCCGCATAAGATATAATTGGCTGTCCAATTAATATCTCGATAAAAAACTTCGCTTTCTTACTTCTTCTCTTCCCTTCCGTGTCGTTGTGGCTCTTTCTCTTGCATCCGGAGGGTTGCTTTCGTCAGCAGGGGTCCTCTACTACCGGAAACCCTTTCGGGAGCAGCCGGTGGCAAACAAGAAGATCGCGATCGACCCTAACCATCCAATGGATAATTGATTTTCCACCGAACGAGCGTCCTATGGAGATGCTCGATTTCGAGGATCGTGCGAATTGATCACGCAACTGGAATCGGCTGTAACCCTTTCTTATTGTTAATGGATGATGGAAGAGACGATAAAATTTTGGAAAAAGGGTCTAGGCGGATAAACAACAATTCCCGGTTTATATTTATACCACGTAATGCTTTTTGTTTCATTTCCATATGCATTATTTCAGTTCTTGCGAAAAACTCGAGCTCTGTTTTGCTATTTCATTGGAACAGCCTGTTCGATAATAGTAGGTCGTATCTCGTTGAAAGAGGCTCATGATCATCGTCGGTAGGTGTACAATGGTAAGATTCATAAGAAGTTATATACTCGAGCGAACAGCACCGTTGTCGGCACTTTGCAACAATGTGGAGGAACGTCCATGCTCCTCGCTACGTTCTTTTGATTTGTGTCCCTTTGTTGAATAGGCGTTTTCCATGCATCCGTGCTCTCTCACCGGAACGATGTAGCTCGTTTCTCCAGGTACGTGTGTCGAGGACCTTTTAAGACGTCTCCCGGGTTTATCCTGCTGCGCTACCGGTACCAGTTTCCGTTCCCTCAGCCACGCTATTGCCTTCGAAGTCCAGATGAACCCGGTTATCTTTCTCTCTTCACCTAGCTCTCTCCCATCCTTCTTCCCTTCTCTTTCCCTCCTTCGTCGATCTACCTTCTTGTTTTTCGAGGTGCTGCAGGTGTCGTGCATTGTCCGCCGTCGCGGCCTCTAAATCTCGTCCCTGACGTTGTGCGGCGTAGCTCCGCTGACTCGAGTACTCCCGGGAGATACATACGACCGTCGGGCAAGTTACACGTTCCACGGCCTCGTCTTATTGCGAAACGGCCGCTCTGATAAGCATCTTTTCGAGAATTTCGGCCTCTTTCATAAGTCTCAACGCCGCTCCCTCGAGAGAGCAACGTCGACCGGTACAAGCGCTTAGACCACTGACGACAACCTCTTTCCCTTTCGACGAGAAGTTAATACACCTTGATTCGTCTCCCTTTGCGCGTAGGTGGTTCACACTGTCACCACAAATTTCCTATTCACTTTCGAAACTTGATTCTCCGACGGCGGACTATGGAGAGAGCCCAAATTTTAATTTATCGTAAAAATTACTTTTCCAATATATAAAACTCTCTTGTATAAAAATGATAAATTCAACTTTAAGCAACAATCATAAATTTCGTAAGTTTGGATTACAATTGACCCAGGCTTCGCTGTTCGAGGATTAAATTCATTAGTCCACTTGAGAATCTAGAATATTTGTTCACCGATTTCTCGCCATCTAAATAAATACAGTAAATTTCCCTTAATCGCGGCGATCTGTGAAACGAAGATTTTAATCAAAGTCGCATTAGCCATTCAAGAAAAAGAGGCGGTGAATGGCGCGTATCATCGCAATTCCAGCAGAGACTACGGTTTTAGAGCGTTAATGGACACCATATTCGCGCGCGTTTACCGAGGGAAGGAACGATCCGTGCTTGAAACGCGCGGCGTATCTCCATATATTTACATGGAACGGTGCTCGCGCCGCCTCGATCCGTGCTTTAAAATATTCTAACCAATAAAAAGACACGCGGGTCGAGCAAAAGGCTACTTGCAACATGCATAATTTGCACCCCGGTGCGCCATATACGTAAGTAGGTTGGTCGGGCTGGCCGCGGCGCGAATGCACTGAAAGCGCATCCGTTCGCCCGCTTGGCCTGCTGCACCGCGCCGTGCAACAGAGATGTAGATAAATAAAATGTTGAAGCCGGTAAGGAGGTGGTTCTGCTCGCCATCTAAGACTCCTCTCTCCCTCGCTTGTCTCGCTGCGTTCCGCTCGAGGATTCAGCTGCGGCCAGAAAAATCGAAACCAGCCTCCGTACCGGCGCGGCGTCTAGAGCCTAATTGGGCCGAGCGCGGACCAGCTGCCTCCTCCAACGGGCGGCCTGTGTTTCATTCAAATCGATTCCGGGTAAAATCTGCTCGATCGACCCACGATCGTATATTATACGACGTGGCGCGCGACCTTGATCGACAGAAATTACCAGACTCTCGATTTGTCTTCCCGACACGATAAACGCCTGGAAACGGCTCCTCAGTCACCCCTCCCGATCGCCATCCCCCCTCGGGCTTTACGAACGCTTTAGAGTAGAAGCTGATTTTGCAAGATCATTCGAATACAATGTCGATTTCTGTGTATCAAGATAATCGATCTTAATGGTTCCGGGCTCGCGGTTGATGAACGCGCTAGCGAGAAGTAGACACGCCTGTCGAAAGAATCGATGATCCAAGATCGAATCGCCATTTACTTTGGGACCAGTTCGAGGATGTAAGCGAATAATAATCTTCTCTTTCTCTCTTTTTGCTAAATATATAATTTATGATTATTCTTCAGTAACTTATAAAATTTTATTAATCAACACTGCTATTTAGAATTCATTATAGGGGTTTTTCTTTGCAAAATATATTATTGTACAGGGTGGAAAAATTTCTAGGACTTGTATTTAAAAAATTTGAAAAAAATCAATTTAAAATAAAGATACTAATAATTTGCCATAAGTGATCGCGATAATTTTATTCTCCTCTACCCAAGGGATAATCTAAAGTGCGTTTTAAATCTCACCTGTTCCCCTTTACTCTGTTACATTTCCCTTCCTATAAACAGAGCCTAAATAAAGGAAAAAGTGGTGCGGTTAAGAATGTCATAATGCGTTTGCAGGGATACCATAAACCGGATTCGAATCGCAGGATAGTTAGCATCTCGAGGATCCCGGTAAACCTCGGCCAGGCCACTTTACCACCGGTAACTTCTTCTAGGTCCACCTTGCAATTACATTTTATGTCTCGCAATCAGTAAAACTCTAAGCACGCCAAGACGCGCAGTTTGCCCGGGTAATTTCAGCATCGATTCCTGTGCACCCTTCGCCTCTGCCTCTGCCTCGTCTATTCGCGCGAGGAGCATCGGTGGTCTTGTAATTTCGCGGGAGGCGAGAAGAAGGGAAAGAAAGAGCACAGGAAGGTGTAAGCAGCTCGGTAATCAGCACGTACCTCATCCTCGACGATAACGCGAAATTCCTTGCGTATGCGTTCTCCAGCCATTTTTTCTTTCCTTCTCTTTTCAAGGAAACGTCCAGCATCCTCGGACCTTTACGTACCCCTCGACAGCGGTGCCGAGACCGAGGTGATGGTGAAAATACACGGTTCGAGGTATGTGGGATTACCGTGTTGATTTATGCGCGAGTCGGGTCGAAATTTATTTTCTGATTAATCTTGGAATTTAGTAAGTAAATTTGAAACACCGATGTTCGAAATTTCCTTCCATCCGGGGATGACTAGCGCGATCTAACCGTGAGAAAGCACGATAAAAGAAAAAAAATTCATGAATTTCAAGAATCTTCCTCTTTGAATCACGCAACTTCTTTCCTTTCGTTTCCGTTCAACATCGATAATATCGATATGGATCACCTGTTACTCGAAATGTCTTGTACTTCGCCTCGGTACAGAGAACGTTCAGCCACCTCATTCTTTGAGAACGAGCTAATTCCCGCTCGATAAGGCCGCATTTCACGTTAATCGAGCCAGATAAGGGGTCTACTAGCGTGGCCACGGCAAGAGGCGGAATTAATTAGGCTCGCGGCTACGGATTGGTGGACACTCGAATCGTGGGGAGGCTGGTACCGTTTCGATCGTATCTGGAATTAACTTTCGCGGACCGTTTCAATGAGGACTGGTTTGGAATTACTGGAAGAAATGCTGCTGTTTCACCGCCCGCAACCAATGTCTTAATTGCACGCTCCCGTTTCCGGGATGATTATCTCCCTTGCTACTTAAATATTCAACACCTTTGTATTAAAAAGAATGACAGGTTCGTTAATGCCTACATGCGAGTCTGCTTACAAGTGTAAATTGGTCTTCCTCATCAATTAATTACAGCAGGTCTTTAGGAAAATTATTTTAATTCATCCTATTTAATTCTCGGCCAACGAACCATGGTAAGAGCGCTGATTTTAATTAAAGGGGAGTTCCTCATCAAATCCCTTAAAATATAGATGATTTTTAAGAATTTTTTTCTTTAAGTATGCAATATATTATAAAAATACATTTCGTCCTTTAATTGTACATTATTGGAGTGTACGAAAACATTTCTTTTGTTGTAATCTCTTTTGTAATGTCATTACAAAATAGGGGATGAAAACAGTGGCCATCATAATTCATTGTACGAGATTTTGAAATAAAAAAACGAAAGAAATTCTTAATTGTTACATCAATGCTTATGGCATGAATCACTTTGAGACAAAAAAATGGCGATGTTCATGCAAATTTAACCCAAAAGTGCCAAAAAGTGATCAATTTTACATACAAAAGTGTCAATAACAAAAAAAACGTGCATACCAACATTGTATA